ATTTAATATAATCATAAGATTCAAAAATTTCTTATTTCCTTAAACTCTATATCAGATAGACAAATTAAATCGAAGAGAGTATCAATATTATAGTAGAATAGATATCCTTATTATAATCATAAGATTCAAAAATATTTTTTACTTTCTTAAATTTTATATCAAATAAAATTAGATAAATAAATAAAATTGGAAAAACATCAAAGTTATAGTTGCATAAATCTTTATCATTAAAATAAAGATAAGATTCAAAAATATTTTTATTTTTTTAAAATTCTATATCAAATCAAATCAATAGCAAAAGTTATAGTAAAGACTTATCTAGAAGGGGACAAACATATATTGGATAAGAGTATTACACTTGTACAAATATTCATGATACATTTTTCTTCTAATAATTAAGGGGGCACTTTACACATGTCACTAATTTATGAAATGAAAAAGAGTAGACACCTAACACTAAAAAAAAAAGTTTGGGTAGAAAAAAGGGAAATGGATATGAGATTAAAACCTGACGAATCGAACCCTTACCAGCAAAATAATAATTCAGACAATTTATCAATTAAGTTACTAAAGTTTTTCGATACGTAACATCATGACATGACACATCACAATAAATTTCTTACAATAGCTCTACCAACATCAGAAAGTTCATGAACATCTATATTTAATTTAGAAAGTGGTGAATATTTAATAGTTATAGCTTTAAAATATTCTTCACATTCTTGTGCATCACCAGAAGAACCAACCATTCCATCTTCTGCAAATTTTGGATCACCTTTTGTTAATGCTTCTATTGCTTCTGGCATACTTGCTGTTAAAATTACCTGTTTTGAAACCATATAATAAAATTCAACATGTCATTGATATTCTTCCTGTTTCAATTTATGTAATATTATATTTATATTAATTTATTTAATATGACAATTTCTGATTGACGTTACGCCTTTTATTTTACCCTTAATAATATACTCTTATAGCTAGCTAGCTACACATATCTTATGGTGGGTCTAAAATTACAAGATTCAAAAAAAATTATAACCACATATTATTTATTTTTTTCTTTTTCAATTTATATAAGATTATTTAACTAGATTCAAATTCAAAGTTTTATAAAGAAAGATTTTTTATAATTTGTAATTTAAATAAAGTTGGATAGTTATGTGATTATAAATTATTCTATTGGTAAAAAGAGAAATAAAATAAAATTACTTTTAATTATAGAAAAGTTAAACATTTTTTAAAATGGGCAACACATAAAAGTAAGAGAAGTGTGTTACGTAAAGGAAAAAGCATGTTTAACATCAAAGTTTCAAAAGTTTTATTTTTAAAAAAATCTATATTAAGCCAAATTATGCCACATAAGCAAGAGCCAAAAAAGCAAAAAGAACACTTTCTACGTTTTGTTCAATTTAATCAGACATTATTATTATATTTTTATTTTTTTAAAAAGACGTTTAATACTTATATTAAAAAATTTAAAATTTAAAAATTAAAATTAAAATTTCTTTTAGTTAGATGTTTAGATTAAGCAAAAATTTTACTAGAGAACTAAGATAAACATAACTCCTTATTCAAAGTCGAAATTTTTACTAGAAAGGTAAGATAGACAAATTGAAACAAAAAAAACAAACATAGCTCCTTATCCATCATAGTCGAAATTTTCAGCAAAAAAAGTAAGACAAACAAATTGAAACAGAAAAGACAAACATAACTCCTTATGCATCATAGTCGAAATTTTCATTTAAAAAAAATAGGATAAACAAATTGAAACACGCAAACAAATAACATTACCTTATATGAAAAGGCACAATTCTTCAAAGGATCTTTCCAAGCTTGAGGAGGATTGGAATGCCTAAGTTTTGAAATAGTATTAGCAGCTTGATTAGCTTTAGATTTAATAGCATCAACCATAATTAATGCTAATGTTGTAATATCTCCTGCTGTTTCACTTCTTTTGTCTAAAGACAAAGTTTTCACACACAAATTATAATTTGGTGTGTTCTTGCATGTTGTTTCTACTAGATTGTTATTCCCATTTGTTACTAGTAACATAGCTAGAAACATCATTAGGAAAATGAAAATTTTCATTTTGATATTTTTGGGAAATTAAGAACTAAATGTGGATTTTCTTGTATGGAATATTGTGTGTGTGTGTGTGTGTTTTATATAGTAAATGGATGGATTCAATTGCGTGTTAATCATCTCTTGCTTTGTGTTTTCAGTGGGGTTTGTTTGGGCTTGGTGGGGATTTGGGAGGGGTAAAGGCGGAGTTAGAATTTTCATTAAGATTCATTCAAACATGACATACAAAGAAATCGAAGGGAGTTCAATATCTATCTATATATATATATATATATATTGTAATTTTCTGTCGAATGAATTCATAAATCCTTACTAGCTTCGCCGTTGACCAAAATGCTATGAATACTTATAAGTAAACTTTAAATAATTAAAATTTATGTCTGATGGTAAGTGTTATCTAATCTATTGTCTATTAGATATAACTTTGCAGAACTTATAATTAATTGAACAAGTTTATTGTCTTGAAATATTCTGAACATCTGCTTTATAAGTAGAAAGATCAATTTATATTTATAACTTATATTTGATGGGAGATAAAAGCTTTATCTAACAATTTTTTTAAATTGAAGCAATTTACTTGATGAGTTTGTTAAATGAGATAAAAAAAATTCTAGATCACTTCTTTTTAAGGCTATTTGTGAACTCAGCCCCACTAAAATAGATTGAATTAATAAATAAACGAAAAAATAATCCATTCAAATTTAAAAAATGTTATAATTTCATTAGATAATTTTATCACTTTTAATACTAATCATATTATTTAATACATAAATGATTAAGTTTCTAACGAACAACCAAATGAGCCTTAGATCATTAAATCATACTACTCATTCTAATAAGATAAGACTTTGGAACTACCAAAATGTACACAAACCAAAAGGCATTATTGGACCTTCCTTTTTACACTTGGGAAAAAGACAAGCATGTTTTGTGATGTATCATATGAGTAACAATTTTTGGAAGTTTGTCAGCTTAGAAACTTAACCGTTTTATGATATCAATGAATAAAAATTAGTCAAAAAGAATTGAAAAATTTCTTCAAATAAACTCCTTATAATAAAAGAGAAAGATGAATAACTTTATATTAACATGCGTTTTTGAATTTAATGATAATATAGCCTAAAATATAAATTTTTGTATAATAATTGTATTAATATATAGATATAAATACAATTGTAATGTTATTAATGTAATTTTTCATATAATTGTTAGAGATAAGGGTTCCTTTCATTATCCTTGTGAAAGTGGAATGCATCACTTTATTATGCCTTTCTCTTATCTCTTTCTTTTTGGGTTGATTCCTTGGAACCTTTTGCATGATTGATTTCAGATCGGAGTTAGAGTATTAATTACGAATTTAATAATTTTGATTTAAATTTATATTTTTTTAAAATTTTATTGAATATCCATATATTGTTGTAATTATAATTAATAATCTAAAATGACTAAAATTTAGAATTCGTAAACTTTAAATTCCGACTCCATCTCGAATAATCACCTTTTCCTTGTTTGATTGGATGATATTATCAGATCATTGAGTGATGCAATATATGTCTAGTGGTTGATAAAATTGCACAACATTATTGGTGTGCATTTTTTAAGGCGAATCTAGAAATCTAATTTTGAGATCATTATAAAAACTTTTAAACTTTATTTTTCCGAACAGATATATACATATTATCATTTATTATGTATGATTATAGATGAATTATATATAAACTATATATTTATTTGTTCGATTTTTTAAAATTTAAATGATTGGACAAACGACTATTTAGGTTATAAGTTCCTCTACAAAAAAGCATAAATTTACCTTGGTGATATCATTTCATTATCTTATTTTACTTTCATGATATAATTTCATTATCTTGAGGTTGTTGTGGCACAATTATGAGTTAAAAAGCATTTTGCACTATGCCTACTTTTTGACATTTTTGCATTATATCTTTTATTATCTACTAATTAATTTACTATCTTAGCCAAGTTCAAAACATATATATTCCTTCATTCATAATTAGAAGTCTCAGATTAAAATCATTTTTGACAATAAAAAGCAACATTTGGAGAGCGTCGTCACCAAAAATGAATTTTGTAACGTGCGTTCCAAATTTAATTTAACATCAATATCAAACACCAAACAGAAAATCAATACTTCCTCCATCCCATTTTATGTGGCACTTTTTGGATTTCGAGATTCAAACAAGTCTAACTTTGATCGTAAATTTTTCATAGATCTTTTAAACATTTTGAATTATCAATTATTGTGACTTATAGTACTTTTTACGTAGTTTACAAATATATAAATTTTATTTCAAAAAAATTAAAGATTTCATGCGCAAATTCCCGATCAAACTTAAAATATTTGACTCTCGAAAAATGAAAATTGTCACGAAACATAGTAATTTTTTTCAAAATACACCAATGTACCACTAGTGTCCTTTTCATGATTATAAAACATAAAATATTACTCATTAAATAAATAACAATAATCTGTTTTCTTTACCCCACACCCCATGTGATGAGAGCTGCGCAATTTGTCTAAAAGTGGCCATTGGTTTGTTTTATAAAAAAAGAAATTCAATATTTGCCAAAAATGAAAAAAATGAAAAAGAAAAAAGAGACTCAAATTTCGTGGTTATTAATTCTTTGAAATTTGAAGTCTAAAAAGAGCTTCTTTGAAACTTATTCCATACAAAATTTGAAGTCCAACCAGAGTTAAAAGTATAATAAAAAAGGATCTGAAACCTATTTAACGTAAATTCAAATTAATCAAAATCACAATATAAATATAAAACATCACAATAAAAAGACACAACTCGATATACAAACATCTTCCGTTCACGTAGAGTTTAAGAAAGGACCGCATTTCGAGAGAAGTCCATATTTATGTTGTATATAAGGACCCACATAAGTGAGGGACAACAGAAAATAGGACAGGTGGACACATATTATCCACCAAAGTGATTGAATCAGCATTTCTAGCAGCATCCACTGACAAATAACTATCTGATTTGACACTTCTCCCTATGAATCCATTTTAAAGCATGATTAATTCAAATTAAAAAAAAATGTTATAAAGAGCGTTAAAGACGTTTTTATTTTTAAATCTTGAATTCAAGATACCTGATTAAGAATAAAATATCTTAGATCGCTACTCGTTAACTATCATAAGCATAACTTTTGTTAATAAGAGGGTAGAACGCGCAACATGATGCACTAAAACTTTTGATATGTTCGAAATTCGAAGAAGGATCGGACCACAACGGTATATTTATGTTGTATCTAAGTTTTTGCTTTTAATGAGTCTCTAAAAGTCTAATGGTTCAACAAGTATGAGTATTCATGAATTGTGGGCTTCCTTGTTCTATTGGGCTGTGAATTGTTTTTGGGCTTCAATTTACATAGCCCACTAAACTTATTCTTTAGTTAGTGATTATAAATGGGTGGGAGATATCGTAAATTCGTTCGCAGGTATATATCGCGATAAGTCCTCTGTCTTATTATAGATGTTGTGCCAACTTTTACCAAATTTGAACGATTGCTGACCATCAAATCCCTTGATTTGCAATATTCATCCCGTCACGTAAGTTAGCACAAAATCTTAGCGCAAAATATAATTCCTAAAGTACTCGAGAGACTCAAATATAGTCAATTAAGAAGATGAATAGTTTTTGGGACCACCATTGAAAAAGTATATTTACATTGCATAAGGATTTACAAGTTTATTCATTTTGGAGCCTTTTCAAATATGCGGTGTCTGATGTTTCATATAAGCTAATATTCATATATACATATAAGACTGAAGTTCAGTCATTTTTGTGTTCAACTATTTTTCTCCAAGGCTTGTGATACTCCCATGTTTGAAGTTGTTTCAAAATGAATAAACATATAATTTTTTTGAAAATAAATAAATATATATTAAATAAAAGTGTCCAAATAAAATATTCATAAATTTGTAAGGAAATATAAATATCTACCTTGTGAAGCTTTATATTATACATTTTAGTTAAAAGATAAGAATATGCTCTATTTTTTTAATGTTATATTTTTAATCTTATTCTCACTTCATCTTTTTGATGAGATAGTGGGTTACAGAGTTTCACTCATCTTTAATGAAAATGACAAATTAGCATTTCTTCTACCTTTTCATATTATAAATAACCTTAAAAGCATCATTACCATAATTACTAAATAAAATATCTAAACACACTATCATTAATATTAATTTATTTAGTCAAATAAAACTAGTTATAAATAACACTGAGCTAATCTTCACTTCCACTTTATCAAAAGTCCTAAAGGAAGTTAAAAAAATAAAGGCACTTATATTCCTTAATGCTTTATTCTCCCAACCACTCTAATATAACTTTTTTCTTTATATATAATTATCTCAATCAACTCGTATGCACTTCAATTATTTCACGAAAAAACAACAAATTCAAAGTTATCTTTGAAGAAAATAAGATGAAGATCAGTTTAATTATATTTTAATGACAAGTAGATATGTGATACCATAATTTTTGTTGATAGATCAATAAGTGCTTAACCGCGATATCAAAATAATTTTTAAGCATTTAAGGATTGTGTGGTCTAGTGACCGATAAAGTGAGTTCAAATAAAAATTGATTCAAGTCGTGATGACAAGTATGGGCTACCATAATAACTTGTTGATAATTAGTTCTCATGACATTCGATATCAAAACAATTCTAAACCCTCTAAATTGTGATTTAACGATCAATAAAGTAAGTTATACGGATGACATTGATTTAAGTCTCGATGACAAGTATAGGCTAACATAATTTTCTTGTTGATAGATTAGTGCTTGATTGTGACATTTGACATCAGAATAAATTTTAAGCACCTCAAGATTGTGGCCTAACAATTGATAAAAGTGAACTAAATGAATATTGGTTCAAGTCTTGATGACTAATACATGATTTTTTGTTGTTGATTGATTAGAATCCTAAAAGTGTGATTTAACGATTAATAAAGTGAGTTAAAATAACAAACGATTTAAGTCTCGAAGACAAACATATGTTAACATAATTTTTGTTGATATATTAGTTCTCAATTGTGAC